GTCCCGGCGCTGCACCCCCCTTGGAAGGGGCATTTGTTAGGGGGAACAACATCAATAAAAAGTTACTCATGTCAAGTAATTCTCTCCAGAATCATGTGCTGTGGAACATAAAAGGTCACATAAAAATTCCTCTGATGGAATGAGATTTCTTAACAGGAGGAGGGAAGGAGCCCCCAACACTCTCGGCCTGGATTTGCCTGAACCTTGAAGCCCAGTGATTTACATGGGCTAATTTGTGTTACAAACCACAAGAAACTTTCTTTTTCTCACTCTACTGTCAAACGCTGTGGCCATACTTTTTGGTGTGTGGCTTTTTTTTTCTTTTTAAACAATAAACCCCAGAGGAAACATGAGTGGGAGGAAAAATATCTCTCTCTCTCTCACACACACACACACATACACACACACACACACACACACACAAGCAAGTTTACTCCACTTCGTGGTTTCCTACTGCCAGCGCTCGGCACACCGAGAGTTAATCGTACACAATCCATAACCATCACAATCCCCTCTATATCGCTCAGATGGGGTCCTAAGGCTCCCCTGTCTCTCTAAAATCGGTGACAACTACGTCTTTGTGGGGCATTTATTTCCTTCTTTTTTCCTAGATGACAGCTCCCCATTCTGAGAGCAGGGAGCCTTTTGCCGCCAACTGGAGACCACTCCAGAGCCCAGGCTCTTCACGCACAAACCGCACGGGGAAGTCCCCCCTCCCAAGCCCCAGACAAAGAGCTATAAAAACTCAGAAAGACGTGGAAGGAATAAACTTTAGGATATAGGTGCACTTTTACTGGTGTATTAAATAACATTTCAGACATTAAAAAAAAAAAAGAAATACAACTTAATGTTACCAACAATCAGAATTCTAGGAACAATAAAAGAGGCCAGGGTTGCTTTGATGGGATATGATAGTTTCTAAAACCTCTAACAGCTAAGTTAAGCAGAGGTGTCTTAAGGTAAAGGAAAGGTACAGCATGATAAAGTTTATTAACTTTTTTTTAAAAGGAAGGAACATATTTCCTAGCTTCCCACCAAACACCAGAAAAAAAAAAAGTGAAAATATTCTGATTGTTTCTTTATCTCCATAAATGAGCAAAGCCTTAGAGAAAACTAAAAAGCCATTTTCTGGTACCCCCAGACCTGCCTCTAGGTAGGGGACATTGCAATAACACTGACCCACGTTATGAAAAATGGATGGGTTCGTTCCATGATGGTGAGCTGGGAGGCAGCCCCCTGCCACTTTTTCATTGTTTCCCATCCCAAATCCAGTGGTGGAAGTAGAGCTCAGGAGCCCTGGTTCTCTGCTCCTACCAGCAGCCCCCTGTGAAGAGACTACACACCACTGAAAAGTCAACTTTCCTAAATAGGAGGCATGTTTATATAAAACTTAGCTGTACATTCCATTCAGTCATATTGTCAATACTCCTAGTACAAGACGCATCTTTTTCTCTCCTTTTAAATAAACCCTGTCCCTTTGCCTTATCCACTGAAATATACCAGCAGACCCAAAGAATCACGTTTACCTTTGACCCTCATCTCGCCATCCTTCTTTCTTTCTTGTGTACCTCATTATTTGCCCCATTCTTTAACGTGTGTAGAAATCCAATAGCACCTAGAACAGAGTCCTATAAACTGATGGAAAAATCAACAAAGACAAATCACGGAGACCAGTGATAAAAAGACCATTTAACCCCGGCTCCCCAGTACTGCCCAAGCTGCTGCCAACAGTCAGGCAAGTGAAAGGCCAATGAACAGAGTATATAGACATACGGATGCAGGTACCAAGGCACCCAAAATGCCATTCCCCTCCCCCACGTTGCTGCTGTTGGATCTTCTTATTCGTTGCTTGTGGAGAAATAAGAAGATAGCTGAGTGCCTTCACCAAAGCCATTTCACCAGAAAATTTTGCCCGCCAGCATGTGGCTTCCACTGGCAGGAGCAGGAAGGGACCGGGAAGAAAGGAGGGCTTTTGTCGTTGCCGTCTGAAATTTAAAGGCAGTCACTTCGTGGGAAGCGAGAATATTTAGAAGTGCCAAGCATAATATTATTTGTGGCCATTCCCTCCCTCTGACCCTCACATAACTCTTTCTTACATGATCATTTCTCTCGCATCTTATACCATACATTTTAAAAGTGACATATTTGGAGGAAACACAGGAGCTCTTTCAGGATGGTGGTATTGTCTTGAAGAGAATGGAAGGGTTTGTGTGGCCAGCCAACATCTTAGGGATGACTGCCCCACGAATTTCTCCCAGTGCAAGTGATGGGTTTTCTCATCTTTGTATGTAATACATTCCCCACGCCAGTGTAGAAACTATCCAAGTAGCTTTAGGAACAGCAAGGATGGGTCAAAACCATGGTGTGCCCGTTTCACATGTGACGGTTTCCAGTCAGTGGCCCCTGTTGCTAAGAACAAAACTGCCTTCTCAAGGTCCACTAAAACGCCCTGCAGAGGGCAGATGCTGCTTGTTTTCTGCCTGCAGTGGAGGAGGATATTGACCCACAACTCGAATCTATACCCAGCTTAAACATTTTACCCATCAGCATGTCTGCGGTCACAAAACACTTCTTCTTTCTGTCACTTCTCGTTCAGACTATTGATAAGATCATTTGGCTGAATCTGCTTGGGACCCGTGTAATATCGACTAGAAGTTAGAAAAGATGATCAGATGTAATAAGCCCAGAAACTACCTTTCAAAATGGACATGTATGCTTCAACCAATGTTCCAAGGAGGAGTTTAAATACATTAGCAAACTTGGAAACTGACCCAACACTGCCTGAAATTCTCACTAACCTTAAAACAGGCTTTGATAAGTGTAGTGTTTCATCTAAGATGATCAGAAACAATCTGTTATCAGCATCAGAGTTTGAGTCTCTCCCATATATTCTTTTTCTTTTCTTTTCTTGTTTTAGAGCCTGTTTGCCTGATGAAAAATAGGCACTCTTGTATAAACCATTGTAAAATCCATCTTTTTCTGTAAACTGACAGAAATAATATATGGAATCTACCTCTAATCATTTGATAAACACACATATAGCATATTGTCAGGGTTACTATTCATGAAAAGATATCTAATTATTAAGAATAATCTTTAAATCCTGCTTTACAGCAGATCCCAAATTATGAGAGGATATGTGGTTAGAGATTAATATTCACCTAGTTCCACTGATGTTGTCCAAAACAGTACAATCGAAGAAGGTTCAGCAGCTAACCTGGAAAGAAGACGCAGGCATATCTGCATGTCTTTCAAGGGGACAAATGTTTCTTTGTCGGACCATGAAATGGCCAACAAATTGAAGCTCAAATCCAATGACCATTCCAATTTAATGCTAGAGGCAGAGTGACTGAAAGATTTGGGACTGATAGTTTTTGTGAGGAAAAGTGAATCAGAACAGTAGTATCCTTAAAAAAAAAAAAAAAAAAAAAGCCCCTGGAAGTTATGAACATGAAACCTGGCGGTATATGCATAAAATTTATTCCAAAACTTTATGAAGTATAAAGGAAGGGAAGTGATTTACACACAGCTCAACTCAGTCAGTTTAAGGTCTAGGGTTTTTTCCCTCTTAAAACTTGGCACTATCTTTAAAAATAAAATAAAGATATTTCAATAATTAGAACAAACTATGAAGGTATTGTGCATTTCTGTTTTATGTAGATAATAAAATATTACTTTAACATAAATATATAAGGATCTCTGCGTTTTTATTTTCCCCACAAGCACAACCAAATGTACCAAAACAAAGTATTTTTAAAGAGACTGAACAAAAAAAATTACATCCCATATAGATTTTGCTCACCTACTCATTTAAAGCTACAGAAAAACAGTTTCCAGAACCTTTTTGCTTCAAAAGAAATAAATATACATTGAGGCAGGCCACTTAAAAATGATATGAAAATATTTCCCTGGGTAGCATTAAAAAAAAAAAAAAGAAAAATAGACAAAGAAACATTTAAACTATTTCTGCATTTCAAAAGACAGATATTAAACATATATACATTGTGGTAAGGTTCAGTGGTAACTTTCATCTTAGTAAACCTATAAGAGTCAGAGGAGCTACAGACACATCCCCTGAACACCAGCGTCTGACCTTACCTACTTGGTAATAAGTATCTGAAAATGCATTTCCTCCCTTTCCCAGTGGCTATTTGCCCTGCTCTGGATTGCTTCACAAGAGGCCGGTCCCCAAACCTCAGGAACAAGCAGTGTGATGCACCCCGGAGCAGCTCCGCGCCCATCTCCTTGTGACATTCATTGGGGGAAATGAAATACAGGCAAATAAATATGCCCATTATAAGTCACCATTTATCTTGCAAAAAACATTGGAAATGAAACAATCACAGGTGTTTGAAAAGACAATATAAAGCATATTTCCTAAAACCTTAAAGACTACTGAGTGCAGTGCTAATCTGATGCTGAGCCATAATTTTATGGTAGTGAGAATTTATTTTTTTTAAAAATAAAAATGTATCTAATACCTAACCAGAAAAAAAAAGCCAAACGTTTAAGATTAATTTAAAAAGTGTTTTCCCTTTTAGCGCCCTTTTGTGCTGATTTTTCTTTTAAATTTTAACTGATCACAGTTTAATGATATTTATTTTCAATACAGTGACAAGTTTTTTCATCTATACTTTCCAGTAGAGTCTTTTGTGTTTAGAGTTAACCGTTTTCCATCAAGATAAGGTCAAAAATGCACTTAAAACTATTAACAAAGGGGAGAAGGAAGGATTGAAAATGGCATTTTTTGTTTCACTTCATTTGCCTTCCTTAGTGAAAGGGAGATGGAAGCTGTCCAAGTCAAACTGGTATTTTCTGTAATAATTATGGGAAAAGAGGTTAGGACCCTAAATATGACTTGATAAACAGATGAGCTAGTGAAGACAAAACCAGTCTAAGGAGTGGAGATCATCTAGGTATGCATGTGGGTATTTGTGTGCTAAGAAACACAGTCTATGCATACACCATTCAGTTCCTGGGTTATTATTTTTATGTTCATAAAAAGGTATTAGAGGAACAAAGTTTAACCGCTGCTGTCAGCACAAATAATACTTCATAATCAAGTTACTAAAACTGAAGGCAGAGAACTATATAGGGATATCTGAAGATACATATTTCCCTAGTTCTCTTCAAAGTGCCACTTTCTGTTGGATAACTCTGGAAATATATTTAACTTCCACATTTCCTCTGAGCTCTTTCACAATAGGCCCGCCTGATAAAATGAAGCAATCAGTCACTCACTATCGATTTTTCTTTTTCTCCCCTCCATTGCCTCCCCCAGAAACACTGCCCGAAAATGAAGTTTACTTTATGGCTGGTAACAAAAACCAACGTTTGACTCTCATTTTTATATCCCAAACTGGGCTGTTGCCTTGGATAAAGCGGCCAGACCATGCGCATTTCCTGAAAGCAGAGAATTATTTATTTTGCATGAAGCCAATCGTTTTTTTTTTTTGCTTTGGTGAGAGGAACAAATAAATGTTATACCAAGGTAAGGGGGGGGGGGAGGTCTGAAGGTAACCAAAGTTCAGAAACAGTGGGAACAGGGGCCAACACAAGAACATTAGAAATGGAGAGTGGCCAAGAGCTGGCTTCAACTCTCTCGGATGAACAGAGCACAGCAAAACAAAACCAGAAGCCGCAGTTCCAAAATGAACGGTGGGGAGAAAGAGAAAACATGGTCGTGAATTTGTTCATGTAAACTTCAATTTTCTTGCAGTGCAAATTTATGTGGTTAAATTTTGCCTGTATCAAAGAGCGTGTGTATTTTTCTTCTTTCCTGATGGGGATCCACATTAAATAAACACAGCAGCAGGTGCCAACGCCAAGCATCAGGAAGCTGCGTTTTGTGTTTATCACGGTTTGGTGGATTTTTGTCTCTCTTCCTTTTTGGTCATGTATCTAGTTTTGCCAGGTATTTATCTCAGTGCTTGCCATCTCTCTCGCTCTCGCTCTGTATCTACCACACACTCTCTCCTCACTCTCTCTAGGAGACACTCCACTCCATTGCCTGGGTACTCGCCTGCAAAGGTCAAAACACGTCGTTACACCTGCTACCGCTCAAAGGAGAGTCCAGTGTCTCAGTTGCTTTCCTCTTGCCTTATTTTTTTTTTTTTTTTTTCTTTTTCAGGGACGGGGAAATAATAATTAAAAAATAAAAGAACAATCAGAAGTTAGAGAAGGAACAAGGGGGCCCGGGAAGGGGCCGGGGACCGAAGGGGAGGGGAGCCCGCGCTCTGCCCCTCCCCCCGCTCGAGTTCACTGGACGGGCGTCTGCACCCCGTGGTGTGGTGGCGTGTCCCTACTCCCCCCGTACACATCCTCGGCGCCTGGCAGAGTCCCTCCGGGAGGGGTCATCCTTTTCTCTTTCTGTCTCCTGTTACAAAACCAAACTCTCACCACCTCCTTCTCCAGCTGTAAGCTGTCCGCGAGGGAGGTGATCTCCTGGGCCGAGGGCTTGGGGCATTTGAGGAAATGACTCTCCAGAGCCCCCTTGACGCTCACCTCGATGGAGGTCCGCTTTTTCCGCTTGCGCCCCTGCGCTGCGATCTTGTCTATGCTCGTGGGGCTGCCCGAGGACGAGTCCGCCTCCTCCAACCACTTGTTCAACAAAGGCTTCAGCTTGCACATGTTCTTGAAGCTCAGCTGCAGGGCCTCAAACCTGCAGATGGTGGTCTGCGAGAACACGTTGCCGTACAGGGTGCCCAGCGCCAGCCCCACGTCCGCTTGGGTAAATCCCAGTTTGATCCGCCGCTGCTTGAACTGCTTG